GTGTGTGTGTGTGTGTGTGTGTGTGTGTGTGTGTGTGTGTGTGTGTGTGGACTCCAGGGCTAGGGGATTCATTAGGCCCTGAAAGGAGTCAGGAACTGAGGCCCTTCTTCATTCCCTCTGTACCAGGGTCCAGGGGCTGACTTTTCACTGTGCATCTGCTGTGGGAGCTGCCCTCGTGGACACACTGCCCTATGCATGAGTCCTGCTTCTGTGTGTGCAGTGTCAGCTCCAGACGCCCTAGTTCTGACTGTTCTCAGTGTTAGCTCTGCGTTCATAGGAAGTGAGGCTCACACTGACTCAGCTCTGATCCTTGCACTAAGGGATGGGGAGGTGGGTAGAGGAGGAGGACAGGACAGGAGTTCAAGGCCAGCCTGAGCTTGTCTTAGAAACCCAGAGCTGGAGCTATAGCCTGGTGGAGAGCTTGCCTTGTTTTTTTTTTTGTTGTTGTTGTTGTTGTTGTTTTTTGTTTTTTGTTTTTTTTTAAAACTTTATTTAACCTTATTTCATGTACATTGGTATAATGATGTCAGATTCTCTGGAACTGGAGTTATAGACAGCTGCAAGCTGCCATGTGGGTGCTGGGAATTGAACCCTGGTCCTCTGGAAGAGCAGTCAGTGCTCTTAACCACTGAGCCATCTCACCAGCCCCCGAGAGCTTGCCTTGTGTACAAAGTCCCAGGTTCCATCAGACCTTGCCTTGTGTGTGTAAGGTTCCTGGTTTCGTTCTGACACCAAGAAAATAAACAGATGAGTGCTTACATTGTATATAGAGTAATATACCAAGTAGTAAAATTTATTTTATTTACTCTGTGTGTACACACTAGGAAGGTAAGAGGCCAGCTCTCGGAAGTCAGTTCTCTTTCCATCATGTCGGTTCTGGGATTTAAACTCAAGTGCTCAGACTTGACAGCAAGACGTTCACCGACTGAGCCATCTTATGGGCCCTTAATATAATTAAAACTAAGGTTTATAGCTTTAAGAAAATTGTCCTGCATGACTTGGGGCTCTCTCCAGCCCCCCTGCAACACTGTCTGCATGTGCTCCTCTCAGCAGGCTGCATAGCTGGCGAAGACTGGGAAACACTGCTCAAGAATTCGGGGCAGCAGGCACTATGTGGGGGCTGTGTGGACGTGCACTAGCTGTGGGTGTGAGGTGGTGGTGAGCTGTCACGTGGTCCTGTGCTTTGCCTGTTGTAGAGTGGTGGAGCTGGTGGGTGAAGAGGGAGCAGACTTGGAGCTGAGTGCCTGCTGCTCCAGTAGAGAACCAGAGTTCTGTCCCAGCACCCATACCCTGGGGCTCACAGACACCCGTAACTCCAGTTCCAGGGGATCTGGTGCCCTGCCCTGGACTCTGTTGGCACCTATACATGTGGCACACATACACACAAAACTAAAAGTAAACAAATAGAACACTTTAAAACGACGAAGCTGGTCATGGCAGGAAAACATAGCAAAGCGAGCAAAGCCCAACTGTGGGCCCGTATGGATGTCCCCGGCGGTGCTCAGACTGCTCGGCTCTGTGGCTTCGGGGTTTCCCACTGGAGAGAGAGCCTGTTCAAAGCTGAAGTTCTGCTGCCTGATCTCCTGTTCTTTCTGTCTTGAAACAATAGTTTTTGTATCTATCCTTGGTGGCTAGTTTCCTAAGAACCAAATGTCCTTATCACAATAAAGCAGCTTGGCTTCCAGACAGCGCCTTTTCAAGTCGGCTCTCTTTGTAGCTCTGCCCCTGGTAGAGCTCAGGCAGAGGGGGCTCTTAGTCTCTGAGGTTGCCTCCAGGCTGTGCCTTCCTGCCTTTCTGCCTGTGCAAGGCTGCTAGTGAGTTTGGTCATTGAGAGGAGGGGTCATAGAGTTCTCAAAGCCACCAGTGGGCTTAGAGAACCTCTGGGCAATTTGGGAACCCCATCTTCTGCATGCTCAGCTCATGGTCACCCTGTTGTCCCATCCCCCACACCCCTGGTGTAATCGGACTGTAGGAGAAAAAAATATTTTGCCTCTTTATTTTGTGAGTGTTTATGTGTCCATGCAAACACACACAGGCATGCATGTAGCATGATATACACAAAGGACAATTTTGGGGTCCTTTTTGTCTTCTCTGTTTTATTTATAACTATTTCTTTGTTTATTGATTTTTGTTTTTTCCAAGACAGGATTTCTTTCTTTTCTGTTTTTCTTTTTGTTTGTTTGTTTGTTTTGGTTTTTTGAGACAGGGTTTCTCTATGTAACCTTGGCTGTCCTGGAACTCATTCTGTAGACCATACTAGTCTCAAACTCACAGAGATACACCTGCCTCTGCCTCCTGAGTGCTGGGACCAAAGGTGTGCACCACTACCGCCCGGCTAAAGGGCAACTCTTAGGAACTTGTTCTCTCCTATACTGTGATATCTGGGGACTGAGTCATCAAGCTTGCTTGAAAGTGCCTTTACCCACTGAGCAATCTTGCCAGCCCTACAGGAAGTTTTTTGTGGGATTGAAACTGATGTGTATTGTGCCTTCAGAAGAGGATGGCAAGCAGGGCATGTGACCAAGGGAACTCTTTCCGTGATCTTTGGACACTGGAAAGTAGTTATTATAGTCTGTCTTTTGTTTCTTTTTTAAATATATTTATTTAATATGTTGTTTAATGTTATGTGTACATGCACCATATGTGCACAGTGTCCATAGAGGTCAAAAGCTTTTGAGCCATGTTAGAGGTGCTGGGGGAAAATCCCAGGTCCTCTTCAAAAGCAGTAAGCACTCTTAACTGCTGTGCCATCTCTCTAGTCCCTCTGTTCGTTTCTTGAAGCAAAATGTCACTTTCTTAAATTCTTATTTATATAATGTGAGTTTTTAAATTATTTTATATGTATGTTTGCCCTCATGCATGTATGTCTGTGCACTATGTATGTATGTTTGCCCTCCTGCATGTATGTCTGTGCACTATGTGCATGCCTGGTGCCTACAGAGGCCAGAAGAGGGTCTTCTAAAAGAGCAGCCAGTGCTTCTAACTTAACTGCGGGACCATCTCACCAGCTCCCACAATAGAATTCTTAGCCTTTCAGTATCCTGACTCAGAGGGATTTTAGTGTCATGCATACTTTTTTTTATTTTTTTTTTTGATTTTTGAGACAGGGTTTCTCTGTAGCTTTGGAGTCTGTCCTGGAACTCACTTTGTAGACCAGGCTGGCCTCAAACTCACAGAGATTCACCTGGCCTCCCAAGTGCTGGGATTAAAGGTGTGCCATTGCCTAGCTTTATATTAAAAAAAAAATTTTTTAAAAAGTTAGGAGGGGCTGGAGAGATGGCTCAGTGGTTAAGAGCACTGGCTGCTCTTTCAGAGGTCCTGAGTTCAATTCCCAACAACCACATGGTGGCCCACAACCATCTGTAATGAGATCTGGCGCCCTCTGGCATGCGGGCATACATGGGGGCAGAATGTTGTATACACAATAAATAAATAAATCTTTAAAAAAAAATTAGTACCAAGTGTATGTTAAAAAAAAAAAAAGTTAGGGCTGGGTACAGAAGCAGTCAGTCTCTTTGAATTCAGGATCAGCTTGATCTGCAGAGTTCCAAGCCAGTTAAAGCTACATAGCTCCATAGAGAGACCCTGTCTCAAAGAAACAAACCCCCCTTCACCCCCTCTCTGTTAATCAAAGGAACTAGAGATGAAGCTCAGTAGTTGAATGCTTGTTTAACATGCATAAGATGTTGGGTTTAATCCCTAAGCCAAAACAGAATAAAACGTGAACCAACGCCTTCTGCCCAATGCTCCACTGAGTTAAGTCTGGCTCCCTGGCTCCCCAGAAACAGTCCAGTTGGTGTTACTATTGAATGTGGCATTCGCTACAAAGTGCGGGCCTAATTTGCCTGAGTGAGGCAGGAGAGTGTCGCATTTGGAACAGTCCGCCCCCCTCCTGGAGGCTCACAGGCTCTGTGGCACAGCCGTGGTCACCTGTCCACCCTGCTGCTGGGGGGCATGCATGCAGAGCCTGGGCTGCAGACTGTGCCAGGCCCCAGACACTCTGGTGTCCTCACTCCTCGAGCAGGTAGGCTGAGGTCAGTCTCCTCACTATTGTCTCTACCGGTAGGTTACCCCAAAGGCCACCCCGAGGCAAAGAGCTTTGAGGAGGACCTGCAGCACTTGAAGGAGAAAGTATCCGCAGGTGCTGACTTCATCATCACCCAGCTCTTCTTTGAGGCTGACACTTTCTTCCGTTTTGTGAAGGCCTGCACAGAAATAGGCATCTCCTGCCCCATCCTGCCGGGGATCTTTCCTATACAGGTGAGAGGCTCCGGAGGGCCTGCTTCCCTCACTCCAGGCACTGTCCTGGCTGGGGCACAGGGCTCCGGGTCGTGTGAAGTCCTGTCTCAGTCGTGCTCGATGCCCATCAGGCGTTGTCCACGCGCTGCATTTGGTCTCCTCGGTTGTCACCCCTGAGACACAATGCTTTGGCCTACTGACAGATGTACTTGACGTTTTGGTTAAGCTGACCCTGATGGTATACACTTGTAATCCCATCGTTCTAGAGGCGTGATCTGTAATTTAAACCTTAAGTTTGGCAGATGACTGGCCAGTGAGGTTTGGGAATAGCTGAATTAGGTGACCACCGTGTTGGGCTCAGGGGCTGGCTGATGGCAAGAATGCTGCAGGCAGCTCTCAGAGTCTACAAAGGAGGGAGAAAGCAGGGCAGGCCAAGCATCGCCCTGGATTACCACCTGGCTTCCTCAGGTCTCTACATGAAACTAATTAGCCAAGAGACTAGAAAGGGAATAGCCTGGAAGACGGGCTAGAGATGGCCCCACACCTCTTGTGTCTTGGACAGGGCTACACCTCCCTTCGGCAGCTTGTAAAACTGTCCAAGCTGGAGGTACCACAGAAGATCAAGGATGTAATTGAGCCAATCAAAGATAACGATGCTGCCATCCGCAACTATGGCATTGAGCTGGCTGTGAACTTGTGCCGGGAGCTGCTGGACAGTGGCTTGGTGCCGGGCCTCCACTTCTATACCCTCAACCGTGAGGTGGCCACCACAGAGGTGCTAAAGCAACTGGGCATGTGGACTGAGGATCCCAGGTGAGAAGTGGAAGCTGGAGGAATATTCCAGGGAAGTCAGAGCAGCAATGGTGCAAAGTGACCCTACAGTGGCAAGGAGGCGCGTAGGTGCGACGCTAGCAGGGTCACCGGGCTCCACCCTCCACCTCAGAGGGCTTCCACGTGTAGTGGAGGCTCAGAGTGAGGCTGAGTGGCCAGGCTTGGTGACTTCCTCTAGCTCACTCCACCTAATCCCTTGGCTTTTATCCCTTCCTCCTCTCCAGACGTCCCCTGCCCTGGGCTGTCAGTGCAAATCCCAAGCGGCGGGAGGAATATGTGCGCCCCATCTTCTGGGCCTCCAGACCAAAAAGCTACATCTACCGTACACAGGACTGGGACGAGTTTCCCAACGGCCGCTGGTAAGGGCAACAGCCACTCCTTGCTAGGAACTGCTGGTGCTTGGGGGGGGGGGGTGTTAGGGGTGGTACTCACAGGAGAGCGCCCTGACCCTGACACTCTTGCCAGGGGTAATTCCTCCTCGCCAGCCTTTGGGGAGCTGAAGGACTACTACCTATTCTACCTGAAGAGCAAGTCCCCCAGGGAGGAGCTGCTGAAGATGTGGGGTGAGGAGCTCACCAGTGAGAAAAGCGTCTTTGAAGTCTTTGAACATTACCTCTCAGGAGAGCCAAACCAGCATGGCCATATAGTAAGTGGGGTGAGATGGAGTAACTGGGTTTCCCACCCCAATCTTGTCTTAGCCTTGGGCTGGACATGAGCTAAGCTGTTTCCTCACCTATGGATGTGCACCTCAGCTGAGGGAAGGGGTAAGAAATCCCACTGAGGAGCCCATGAAGGCGGAGACAGACTGGGTCTCCACCGTGACTGTGCAAGGGCGAGACAACCCAGGCCCAGACTCACGGGTGCCCTAGCTCAGCTCACCTTGCCGTGCAGGTAACCTGTCTGCCCTGGAACGATGACCCTTTGGCAGCGGAAACCAGTCTGATGAAGGAGGAGCTGCTGCGCGTCAATAGGCTGGGCATCCTCACCATCAACTCTCAGCCCAACATCAATGGGAAGCCGTCCTCGGACCCTGTTGTGGGCTGGGGCCCCAGTGGGGGCTATGTCTTCCAGAAGGTATGCTACTCGTCCTGATCAGTGCTTAGGGAGCCCCAGAAACTGCAATAGAGCCCTGGCCTTTCCCTCCTGGGCCCTGTAACAAGTAGCTGATCACCTGGGTTCCCCAGTTCGCTGTGTAAAATGGAGGAGGGGGTATTTTATGTTTTGGGGACAGAATATAATAAAGCATATGAAGTGCTCCCCCTGGAGGAAGAACAAGGAAACAGCTCTCAGCGCTCGGGCTGCTAACACGATCGGTCGGCACTTTATTTTATTTATTTATTTTTTTATTTAATTTTTTTTTACGATCGGCACTTTAATCCCAGGCATGCCGGGCCTAAGTGACACTCCACAACATGGCCTGAGCCTTGGACTCAGAAGACTTGGGTTTAGATGCCAGCTCTGCTGTTTCCCTTGATACAGCCCCAAACCTGGCTTCCTCCTCTGGGCAAAAGTACCCACCTTGCAGTATTCTGAACATTCTAGAAAATGAAGGTAAAGGCCATCTACAGACAGAAGTGCCTTGCCCGACCCTTTGGTGGCACTGTCACCCAATAGACTGTGCCAGCCTCCACCCTCAGCCTAAGCTTGTCAGAGTGGCTCTCTTCAGTTCCTCACACACCTTTTTCCAACGGCTGGGACCTTGGGACCACTCCAGACAGAGAGGCCTCTTTCCTTATGCGATCACCCAGACTCCACAGTTGATCCTGGTCCACAGTGACAGCTCTAATCCCAGAGCCTCAGTGACCTACACTTGTATGAATGGGGTCCTCTCCTAGGAGGAGGACAGCATCTGGCTGATGCAGTAGCAGATCTAGTCAGATGCAGAGGTCGCCTGGAGCAGGGTGAGGAAAGAAGGCAGAGAAGCTGGCAAGGAGCCTGTCTTGACATGATGGTGTCTTCTCCCTCAGGCCTACTTAGAGTTCTTCACCTCCCCTGAGACCGTGGAGGCCCTTCTGCAGGTGCTGAAGAAGTACGAGCTCCGGGTCAACTACCACATTGTGGACGTGCAGGTAAGCCAGCGCCCAGCCTAGATGGCAGCGGGGCTTGAGAAGACCCACGTTTATCCTGACAGTCCCCAGATGCTCAGGCCAGGCATATACTGTACAAGGGGACCAGATGGAGGCAGGCCTCCTGAAAGAGCTCCCAGGCTGGGAGGTAGATGAATATATGCAATGACAAGTCCGTGTAGGCAGGAAAGGCAGGTTCAACATGGGATGTTACAGGATCCTGAGGAGGGTTATCACACCTGAGAGGTCTAGGGTTTCTAGAAGGGCTCTTGTGTGGGCTGAGTCTGTGTGCAATTGTGTATGTGTGTGTGTACACACACATGCACGTACACTCACCTGGGGGCCAAAGGAAGATGTCCTGTGTCCTCCTCTATCGCTGTCTGCTTTATTCCCTTTAAACAGCATCTCTCACTGAAGCTAGAGCTGTGCTGACAGCTGCGGGCCTCGGCGGGCCTCTGTCTGCCCCATGCAGGCACACACAGAGCCATGCCCGGCTGCTCACATGATACCGGGTCTAAGCTTGTGCAACAAGTGCTCTTACTCATTGAGCCACGTCCCCAGACCCTTGCCTGAATCTTTTTAAGGACAAAGAGTAAACAAAAGGCAAAGGGCATGCTGGGGAAAGGGCAGAAGGCAAGGCTCTGGCTGCACTGCCCTTGGAGAAAGTGCAAATGGGACATGGCAGTGCTACACCAGGACCAGGAGCCCTGACATCCTGCCTGAGGCCTGGAGCCTACCTAAAACAAGGGAGCCTCTTCCCCAGTTTTCCCCGAGTGGCTTGCCTCCGTTTCTTTTTACAAAGATCACAGCACACAACTATGAGGGTGGCAAGGGCCAGGGAACATCGTCAGAGGCCCTTGTGGCCCAGGTAGGAAGCAGGACTGCTATTGTAGGCCTGAATGAGAAGCAGCAGCAAAGCCAGCTGTGGCAGCACACATCTGTAACCCCAGCATCTGGGAAGCTAATCGCTGGAGGATCTTGAGTTCAAGGCCAGCCTGGGTTATAAGCACAGGAGGGGAACAGGGAGAGGAGGAGAGTGGCCCAGGATGCCTCTAAGTCTCTGGTTTAAGTAGAGGGCAGACCAGGAGGGCAGTATGGGCTAGGTGAGGCCACCAGCTGTGGGGCTGCAGTCGCCCTGCCTCTGTTCCCAGGGGAAGAACATCACTAATGCCCCCGAGCTGCAGCCCAATGCCGTTACGTGGGGCATCTTCCCTGGTCGAGAGATCATCCAGCCTACTGTGGTGGATCCCATCAGCTTCATGTTCTGGAAGGTGAGTGGGTGGGAGGGTGTGTGCCCTGGCTACCTTGAGAGCCCTGGGCAGACAGTAGTCCAAAACACCTAGGACCTATAAACTTGGCCTGGGAGGCCGCAAGTTAGCACTTATTTCTGGGCCAGCTGGAGCGGTACTGCCTTGCTCTTCCCTGGGTGGCCCTCAGAGACAGCGGGAGCCAGGACCTGGGTGTGGTAGCCCTGTTGACCCTGCACACCTGTGTCTGTGTCCTCATGTAGGATGAGGCCTTCGCCCTGTGGATTGAGCAGTGGGGCAAACTATATGAGGAGGAGTCCCCGTCCCGCATGATCATCCAGTACATCCACGACAATTATTTCCTGGTCAACCTGGTGGACAACGAGTTCCTGCTGGACAGCTGCCTGTGGCAGGTGGTGGAAGACACTTTTGAGCTGCTCAACAGGCACTCCACAGAGAGAGACGCGCAGGCGCCCTAAGCCTCCTGGAGCCTCCTCATCTTCCCACACGTGACAGGGACAGCTAGACTGGCAGGAAGCAGCCAGGCTCTGACTGGACCTGAGAAGCCCCATTTAGGAGGCTCGTGCTCTCTGCTCAAGCCCATGAGGTGCGATTCACTAAACAGGGCCCAGCTGTGCTCCTTCTGAGCAGGCACTCCCGCCAGCTGCCGTCTTCTCTGTTCAGCCCATCCTAGAAGCTGGCCCTGGCCCTCCTCTCCAGTCAGCACTCAGGCCTCGCTGCCTGGGGTAGTGACTGACAGGGACAGATGGCTGCCCCTGAGGCCTGGCTCCCGGCCTGCTGGTCCTGTTTGAGTCAGGGAGGGGGAGGAGGCTGTCCGTAGAGCAACTTAGAGCACGGGATTCCCTCTCCCCTTGTCCCCTAGACCCAGATGCGAGCAGTGGAGGGCAGCCTGGAGGAAGGGACGTTCTTTATTGTGCCCCCAGAGCTCTGGGAGCTGAGCCTTCAGCTGTGGGCCTGGCCTGGTTCCGTTTGTTTCTCGGGCGTAGCTCACAGCACAGCTGCTGCTGGGCCCTGCTCTGCTCCACACCTGCCACGTCTGGTTCTTCTCGTGGGTTCCTGGCTACCAGGCGCCGGTACCACTTTTCAAAGGCCTGGAAGCAGGGAGGGACAAGAAAGGACATGGATCTCGGCTCCCTCCAGGGCCTGTCAGACTGACACCTGAGCCATGCTCTGTGTATCTCAACCAGAGGCCTTTTCCTCTGCCCTCGCAGCCGGGTCGCCCTATCTCAACCCAAACATACAGGCTTTGAATAGACTGAACTTGTGGCCCTGGGAAGCTGTACCCAGTGACCTGCAAATGACCCAGGCCCTGCAGGGACCAGCATGGATAGCCAGTGCCAACAACAGCCTGGTCTCAGATTGAGTGACTGACACTGGGCTGGGCTTATGGCCACCAGTCAAGGGCTCTAATAACCACTGTGCTCTGTAACCATTGATCAGCTTACTGAATGAGGAAACCTCAGGGTGCTGAGCAGGGACAACCCCTCCCTTCTCCCTGGCTCAGCCCAAAGGTGACACGGTTTGGAAGGCTGACTAGGCGAGGTGAGGTAGAGCCACCTGGGAAAGGACCCAGCTCTCTTCCTGCTGGAGTAACCGCTGAGCCACCTGCAGCTGAAGGACCCTTTTCCGCCATGTCCTCCAGGCCTGTTCCAGGTGCCACTGTCTGAGCTACAGAGAGAGTTGACAGAAAAGACTCTTTGCCGTTCTGGTCCTGGCAGCCCTAGCCCTTCTACTTCTGCCGCCCCAGGGAGAAAGGGAAGTGACAAGGGGGCCATCATCTAAGAATGTTAGCAGACAAGGACTCCTGACTCTAGTCCAGAGACCACAGCGAGATACAGGTTTGTCTAGAGTCGGCCAAGGGATACGATGAATGAGAGAATCTGTTCCAGGGCCTCTGCAGGATGGAGAGGAACTAAGCCCACCTACCAGGGTCCTAGACAGCTGCTCCGCCCAGTGAACATCTACCCAGAGCTGCCATGCCCTTGTCAGGCACCTGGCTCGCTGCGAAGCCTGGATCTGCCAACGCTGTAGGTGCCTATTCCTGCAGGCCAAGTACAACATAACCTCTGCAAGGTGAAAAGCAAGTCCCTAGGGCCATCCTGCTGGGGTCACCCAGTTACTGGCCTGAGGTGACCACCCCTCTTCCATGATGTCACATGCACAGTCGCTCCTGCCCTAGTCACCTTTGAGGAGCCTCGCCTTGGCCCTGGAGGGCCCTGGTCTCAGAGCTGCAGTGTTTGCCTAGTCCTGTAGGGGGCTGTGCCCACGCAGGCAGTGGCAGCCAGAACTGGAAGGTTGGGCAGAGAGGCCACTCTGTGTCACCTGGAGAGAATTCCATCAAGAGGATAAGCCTTGGTTTGGGGGAGCAGTGGCCACTCTCAGGTACCCAGGTTGTAGGATGGCCCAAGGAGCTAATGGGGGTAGAAGAGAATCACCCAACAGCTGTGAACAGGGGCAGTGTTTCACAGGTGAGGCCTGAGGGCTGAGACCCCGGGACTCAGCTTCTTACTGTGAGCACAGGATGTGGTCTTCTGTATGCCTCTTCCAGGCTGCCATGCCAGGCTGGGCACCGCACTCGGTCTAACGGGTGTCCAGCGGCTGTGGGTCTGAGGAACAGAGGGGGTGCAAGAATCAGATACCTTGAGCCTGCTGACCAGGAGGGATTCCTGCCTGACCCCTGCCAGAACAGGTTCCCACCTGTGTGCATAGCGGGGTGTCTCACCTGTCACCCAGGAGTCCCAAGGACCCCCAGAGGAGGCAAGCTGCTGGTACACAGCTGGCACTACCCCTCTGGCCAGCCTCCCATCTGCTGAAGACGTCTAAGCCGAGGCTGGTTCAGTGGGAGCTGCAGCTGACCTGTGGTAGAGCTCAGGCCATCCCTGAGAGCTAAGCTACGCTTCTGACTTAGGGTAGATACAGCTGAAGCCTTGCCTCTGAGATGTGGCCTGGCTCCAGGGTCTGAGCTCCCAGCTAGTGGGCCACCCCCTGCCACCACAGGATGGCGCACCACCTGCACACGGTGCCAGATAAAGGGCTACCTAGCTGGGGGGGGAGGGGAGGCGGTAAAGAGTAAGACCTTGGCTACCATTCTCTGTCTGCTTTGTTTCTAGACGCCCCAGTGTATGAGAGGACAGTGTAAGGGAGAATGAAGAAGGTTTGGTTTGGTTTAGTTTTTTGAGAGAAGGTTTTTCTGTGGGACAGTCCTGACTATCCTGGAACTCACAGAGATCCCCCTTCCCTCTGCCTCCTGAGTGCTGGTATTAAAGGCATGCACCACCACCACCCAGCAAGAAGAGATGAAGCATGTATAATTTTAAAGGGTGGCAGTGTCCCCTGAAATTTCAACTCAAGAGGCTGAGTTGAAGCAGCCTGGACTATGCAAGCTGGGTCTACAAAGGCCTGTAACATCTAGAAGGAAAGTAGCATGAGACCCCGTGACCTGCCGTAGCCTTAGGCCCATACCTGGAAGTTCTGAAACCCCGCATCACTATTGCAATTTTGTTTAAAAAGCAAAAGTCACTTTAGTGATTTCCTTAGACTCAAAACACTGTCTGGCCTGTCAGGATGGTGGGTGGATCCCTGAGTTACATCTCCAGACTACTGGGCAATGCTGTTTCTTGCCCCGGCACTTGTGATGCCCTCTTCACTCCTGCTAGGCCACAGCCTCTCATTATGTCAGGGCTAAGGACTAAAACAAAACCTTACTTTCTCCTGTATTTTCTGTAATGAGTACATTTCATTTCTTCCAGTAAAGTCAAATTGCTGCTCTCTTCATATACCCATCTTTTTAAAGACTTGTGTGTGTATGCGCGCGCAGACATGCCAGCGCAAGCCAGAGCCCAGACTGAGTCATCAGATGCCCTGGAGTGGAGCTTCGCAGGGTTGTAAGATACTGACGTGGGTGCTGGGAACCGAGCTCAGGTCCTCTGGAGGAGCAGCTAGTGCTCTCTGCCATGGAACCATCTCCCCAGCCCCAGACTGCTGTAACTGCATTTAAGGTCTGGTGATGTGGCTTGGTGGTGATGCGCGCTTGCCGAGCATGCGCAAGCCCCAAATTCTCTCAAAGATTAATGTGTGTGCTGAGTGTGGGAGGGGCAGCAGTGCCTTGGTACACATGGTGGAGGCCAAAAGACAACTTGTGGAGTTTATTATCTCCTTCCACCTTTACATTAGGTTTGAGGGTCAAATCAAGTCACTGGGCTGGCATGGCAAGCACCTTTACCTGCCTAGCCACCCCGCTGACCCACAAGCACCATTTTGGTTTGTTTTTTATTTGTCTTTGAGATAGAGAGTTTTACTATGCATCCCTAGCTGGCTTTCAACTCAGAGATCTGTCTGCCTCTGCTGTCTAGATGCTGGGATTGAAGTCATATACCACTATGCCCAGCCACAAACACTTAAAAAAAAAAAAGTGTCTGTTTCCTTAATAGACAAAGACCCCTTGTAACCAGATTTGCACAGGACAGTCACTAGGAGGTTTACTGATGGGCCCTGCCTCCACCATGTTGCTAGCCACTCAGAGCTAGGTCAGGTGGTGTCTGTAAATCTGTTTGCCCCTGGAGCCACAATCCCATCATGGGCAGAAATCAGCTGATTTTAAGACTGAGAAAGTGACTCCCCCCACAATGCACACATACCTGAGCCCACCTCAGCTGTATCAAAAAGTTTGGGGTGTCCGTCTGTTGCAGGAGATGCCCTCTGCTGAAGATCATGCCCTGTGCCTGGGTCTGTCTCCACTGAGTTGACCGCCACTGAACCCAGTATGTCCTAAGAAGATACAGAAGCCTCTGCCAACAGTGGGTGACATCAGTGTGCTGGGCATGACTCCAGACTGCTAGCTGCAGCCAGACCTCTGGGACCCTGGAGAAGAAGGAGGAGCCCATTAGAGCCAGAGTTCTAGGGCTCTGCAAAACGCAAATGCCCAGGTCTGAGCCCCCTCCCACCCACCCCCACCCCTGTTCTGGATAATCCATGAAATACGCATGGACGGTATTAGAAGTAAGTAGAGTATCACACACATCAGGGGCAAGCATCTTGTTTAGAGGAACAGAGAGGGCAGTCCTAATTAGCAGCTTATATTCTGCTCCCTGCCCTTGCCAGTGCATTGTCCATTTGCTGTCTTGAGCACATGGGCACACTTGGCAGGGCTGCAAGGAAAGGTGGTTAATGTCAGAAGCTTTCCCAAGGATGGGCCATACTAGAAAGTGACACAATTGGGACCCATGCCAAAGATCAAGATGTCTCTGCCCTCCTGCCACCCAGACACTCAGCAAGCACCACTCAGTCACCCACTATGCCCCACCCTTACCAAAACCTGACCTGTTTGTCAGGTGTGAGGCTGCCCTAGGGCCTTGGGCACTAACCTGGTTGTCAGTTGCTGGGCAGCATGATCTTGGTGGATCTGGCCTAGGTGGGACTCGTGCACCCACAGGACCCAGCACAGGGCCACCTGGACTGCGGGCAGGACTTGAACTCTCCTTCCTCCCTGTTGCCGGACCTCACAGCACTGCCCCAGGGTGACTTTCCATACCACAAAAGGCTGCTGGGCCTGGGCCCTCCTCAGCTGTCTGTCAGTTCCACACTGCTGAGGAAAGCTTCTCCAGCCTAGGACAGAGGCCTGGGCCACGCACCAATCCTGTGCCAGGGGCCCTGCTCTGCAGGCCTCCTGTGAGCCAGCAAGTGTGGCCCCCAGGCCTCTTCTCAGGTCGTCCTGGAAGGCTCGTCCTTGATGCTGGCCCTGGGACACTGCTATGTCCCTCATGCGTTCACACCAGGCCTGGAAATAGCTGCAAAGGGGGCAGGAGAGGGGCACAGGTCAGCTGTCGTTTGTGTGTTGTGTCTATTCAAAGCGACACCTGCAGACATGCCTGTTATCTCAGCGCTGAAGCAGGAGGATCTCTGGGGCTAGCCTGGGCTAGATTGGGCTGGAAAAACCAAGGGCTGGGGATCTAACTCAATTGATAAAGTGTTTTCCTAACATGCACAAAGCCTTGGGTTCAAACTCTAGCACCAAATAAAGTAGGCATGGTGGCATATGCCCATAAGCCCAGCACCCCTGATGCAGAGCCAAGAGGATCAAGATTCAAAGTTACCCTTGGCTACACAGTGGAGGCAGCCTGGGCTCTGTGATTTTACCCTGTTCTGGCCACTGGAAGAGGACTGAGGACCCGGACCTCTTCACAGCTGAAAAAAACACCTGTCCCTTCACTGGCCTGTGAAGTCACAAGACTGGTCTGATTAGGAGGTAGGCTGTGAGGTTTGTCACCAACCCCAAATTAAGGCGAGGCTGCTGGCCATCACCTCTGACTTAGACCAACTCTCTCTTCAGGTCCCCACCTCACCTAAGCCCCAGGCCTTCAGTCAGAATCCCAGACCTTTTTATGCTGTGGACTCTCTGCCTTTCCCAGGTGGTGAGGACAGAGCCTTCCCCCTCCTCCAAGCCCCTATGTCCTAAGACATCTCTGTCCAAGTCCAAGCTACCGCCTGCTGTCAGCCCCAAACACAGCCTTCTGTAGAACCTGGAGGCGGATTTGCCCCAACCTCTGATACAGTTCATAGTGAACCTGCTGTCCTGGAGCCAGACAGACCAAGAGTCACAAGGGACCCACCCCCCGCCTCTCTGCTGTACCCCGCTCAGCCAGGGTTCTGCCCTACACTGTCTGCTAGCTAAACAGCTTTTGGTCACTTGGCTTGGCGTTCAGGTAGTTGAAGTACTTTTTCTGTTTGTTTAGATTTTTGTTTTGTTTTTCTTGGTTCTTGGAACTGAACCCAGAATGTCACCCTTGCTAAACACATATTCCCCAGTGCATGCCATTCCCAGGCTCAAAATTTCTTTCTGTTGAAGATTTTGATAATGTTTAGGCATTAGAAGAATTCATAGTTTAAAAAAATCTGGGGCTGGGGGTTTAGCTCAATTGGAAGAATGCTTTGTCTTATATGTACGAAAGCCCGGGTTTGGCCCCAGTATTGCGCAATCCAGGCATGGTGTTTCAGGACTGTAATCTCAGCTCTTGAAAGGTGGATGTAGGAGATCAGAGAGGTCAAAGCTATTCAGTCAGCTACGCAGCAAACTGGAGATGAATCTTGACCACAAGAGAACCTGTCTCCAAACATAATAATATAAACAACTTTAAAATCTAGACTTCCAGGGGCTAGAGAGATGTCTCAGCAGAAAAAGCATGTATTACTTTTCCAGAGAACCAGAGTTCCATTCCCAGCACCCACATCAGGTGGTTCACAGCCGCCTCTAACTCCAGCTTCAGGGGATCCAGTGCCTCTAGTCTCGGAGGGCACAAGCGTGCATGTGGCATACATTCACACAAATACACATATACGTACATGATTAAAAATAAAATAAATCTTTCTAGTTTTGCTATAAAAACAATAAAATTTAATGTTAATTCCTGATGGACAAGTATTGAGCTGGAGAAGCAGGGGTCCCCAGTGGTCAGGACCCCAACTTTCTAAGACAATCAAATCCCACCTAGCAGTTCATTACTGCAACTGGTGGGTGTAGAGGACACTGAAAATGGCTGCCAGTGAGCCAGCAAGCTGATTCAGTAAGTAAAATTACTTGCTGCCGAGGTTGAATTCCTGAGTTCAGTTCCCAGGATCCATACAGTGAATAGAGAGAACCCTAGGCATATACATGTATGTGTACACACACACACACACACACACACACACACACACACACACACACACGGAGAAGGGGTGGGGAAAGGGAGTCATTCCTGGAATTAGGTTGTAAAGAGAAAGGAGTTTCTAGTTGGGCACACATTACTGCCTCCTGGATCGCTCACCTTGCATGAGAGGGCTCTGCAGAGATGCCCTGGGGTGACTTACCAGGTATCCCCGCAAGGGAACTTAGAAGTGGGTTTCTGTTCTCCACAGAGCTTTCAGATGTAGTTCCAGCCCTGGGTAAGCCCTCACTGCAGCCTCGTGGGAGAAAAGGACTCCCTCTTGCTCCGCTGACACCATGAGATGCTAAGTCTGTGACTTACAATTGTAAGCAGGAGCAGGGCTAGCTGGGCGTGGTGGCCCTCGCCTTTAGTCCCAGCACTCAGGCGGCGGAGGCAGGTGGATCTCTGTGAAATCAAAGCCAGTGTGGTCTACAGAGCTAGTTTCATCCAGAACAGGCTTCAAAGCTACAAAGAAACTCTGTCTAGAAACAAAACCAAAACCAAAACAACAACAACAGATAACAACACCCCCCCCCCCACAAAACCCCAAAAACAAACAAATAAACTATAAGCAGGAGACCAGCAAACTGTCTCGGTGGGTAAGGGCATTTGCTGCCGACCCTGACAACCTGAGGTAAATCCCCTGGAATCACAGGCATGATGGAGAAAATCGACTCTTGTATGTTGTCTTCTGACATCCACACAAGAGCTGTGGCACATGCACAACCAATTAACTAGTTCATTAATTAAAACAAAACCGTATGTGGGGGTTGCGAGTGTGACTCTGAGCGCGGCTCCAGTGGACTGGATGGAACCTTAGCCCAGCATGCCAAGACCTTGGATTCTATCCCCAGAATTAAAGTTAATTAGTTACATAAAATGTTCAAGTGTTGGGGCTATTTGTTGCTCAGCAAGGGGTGGGGGCCTCCTGGAGATGTGACTATAACTTGGCTGGGGTCAAGCTCAGTACAAAGAGAAAGGTCCTCCTTTATGCTGAGCCAGAATCCTGGGAAGCCAGCCATCCCCTTTCCTTTCCCAGACAGGCTCCTCTCCCAGGATGCTTGCAGCAAGCCCGTTTCTTCTGCCTAACTAGCATCACGGCCCTGAGAGCACCAGGGCTCTGTCTTCCTGACCTCAGAGCGCAGGCAAGCAACTCTGGAGGCCAGGCAAAGCAAAGGTGACAGGGACGAAGAGGGGGTGCTGATGTCCTGGCCTGGAGTTTGCCATGGACTATCTCATGGGATCCCAGTCACCCCATGAAGCATGTACAGTACTATCCCTGTTTTACAGATAACTGAACAGACACTCAAAGTACTTAGGTGACTTAAGATCCACACAGTACAGCAACCACACAGCATGGCTCACAACCATCTGTAATGAGGTCTGGCACCCTCTTCTGGCCTGCAGGCATACATGCAGGCAGAACACTGTAAACCTAATAAACAAACAAACAAATCTTTATATGGGCTGGAGAGATGGCTCAGTGGTTAAGAGCACTGGCTGCTCTTCCAAAGGACCTGAGTTCAATTCCCAGCAACCACATGATGGCTCACAACCATCTGTAATGAGGTCTGGTGCTCAGGCCCCTGGGCTCTGAGGTGGCTCTGGAATTCTGAGTGTCACTAAGGGACACTGGCCTTTTCCTCTTCCAGGATCTCCCCACCCATCCCTTGGCTCACAGGGCCACTCACACCAGCCCCTGGCCCCGATCCTGGACTCTCTTCTACACTTGCCCATCACAGGCCTGAGGTTCTGAGCCCAGGTCCAGCGAGCATCCAGAGGTTCCAGCTGAGGACACTGGGATACTGGGAAGGAAGGGGAATGCTCACTTTGAGCACAGCTGTTGGGCTAGCCTCACCCTCTTCCCACCTCCATCCTCCCCTCAGCAACAGGTATATCCCGGGCGGTCCTTTTCCAAGTTCTAATCAAAGAGAGGATGTGTTGCTGGGCATTAGAGGGGTCTAGGGCTCTTCCAAAGGACACAGTGACAGGTGGCAGGGCTAGAAAAGGATCCTCAACCTCCAGTGCCAGGTCCAGGGCTCCGCCATTGGAGTCAGCTGTAATTGTCCTCGTTTTACATACAGGGAAGCAGAGACACAGAGAAGTAACTTGCCCCAAATCACACAGCCAGAGGAACAAAGCAAGTGTTGGGACATAGGCAGTCCCTTCTCAAGCCCCGCCCTGTGAGAGCATCTGGAGAGAAATATATGACAGTGTCTTGTTCCAGTTCCCGTCCTAACAGCGGGATAGGGCAGAAGGACGGGAGAAGGGAAATGGCCCTGAAGGCCCTGAATCTGGGGACCATGCTGACTGGGATGCGGGCAGGGACCCCTCCTGAGATGCAGACTCCACAGGCTGCTGCTGGGAAAGCTGGGGGTGGGGTGTGTGGGGGGGGATAGGGGGGTTGGGAGGAGCAGTCAGTCAGGAAGCAATAGCATCACTGCACAGGGGCCAACAGGGCTCTCCCTTCCTGGGGAGGGGTTCCTACCGCCTCTGGAGGGTACGCCCGAACCACCTCACTGCGCCCTGAGTCTGCTGGACCCGCACCTGCCAGGGAACAGGACACAGTCCTTCTTCTGTCGCCTGGCTGCCCTCAGGACACCCACCAGGAAGCCTCCAGGAGACTAGGGGCCCTGAGAAGCTGGGGATAAGGGGTGAGTCCAGGGTACCCCCATCTCCACCCCACTGCAGCGCCTCACCTTCTCCAGTGACCCTCCTGATGTTCTGCAGCTGGGCCAAGCCTCCCCTCCCGGGCTGTTGTCCCATGGCTCCAGGGCTAACATGGTCTCCAGGCTGCGTGAGGGAGGGTCCAGACCCCAGACCCTCAAACGCCACTGCCTCAGGAAGTACTGCAGAACCCGCTTCTGCATGCCCTGCGAAAAGGAGCTAAGGGAGAGGGGCAGGTGAGTCTCCGGGACTTTCGGCACCCATGACTGGGACAGGGTTGCTGTGAGTGGGCCCAGTGGGAAGGCCTTGGCCAGATGAAACCGATGGATCACTCAGAGCTTCAAGGGATGGTGTCGTAAATCAGCGGTGTATGCAGGAGCCTGGGGATCTGATGCCCGGCCCCACCAACACCAACAAGCCCTCTAGTGACGGCCCAGCCCACTGCCCTCTAGTGGGGAACTCAGTTCAAAACAAAACAAAAAACAAACATTTTTTCCCCCTAAAAACAAAGCAATGCAAAGCAAAACAAAACAAAAATAATTAAACACAAGCTAGGCATGGTTGTTCACCATTGTAACCCCACCGCTCAGTAAGCTGAGGCAGGAGGATTGTCAATAGTTTGTAGTCATCCTGAAATATGTTCTACCATGCTTGTTTGAACAGAATTCTCTTCCTTCTTTCTTTTCTTCTCTTCTTCCCTTCCTCCTTTCTTCCATTTGTTTTGTTTTCTGAGACAAGGTTTCTTTTTGTAGCCCTGATCGTCATTGAACTCACTCTGTAGACCAGGCTGGCCTCGAACTCACAGAGATCCATCTGCCTCTGCCTCCCAAGTGCTGGGATTAAAAGAGTGCGCCACCACCGCCCTGCTAAAACGGAACTCTTAGCTCTGCAAAGGATGGCTTATTCTCCCTGACAGCTTAGCCTAGAAGCTGGCCCCTGATGACCCCAGCCTCTCTTTCCCACAGCCACCCGCCAGCCTGAGTGCAGAATCCTGGCGCCTATCCTTGTAAAAGCAGCTGGGAGAAAGTGACAACAGAAGCTTTTGGGTTGGCCACTGTCTCAGTGCCCCACAGCCGCCTCCCAGGGCCCAGTACCTGCTGGGGGACACAATGGATCATATCAGGCCTCCTGCCAAGGCCATGGGAAGGCTGGGATGTTGACCAGGACCTAAAGGACACTGGTCATGTATCCACTCTGCACCAGGCTGACCCTGTATCAACAGCTTTGGACACCTACATGGCTTGCTGGTGCTGGTAGAGTCGTGTCCTCCAGAGCAGCAGGACCCGGTGCAGGGCCAACATTTGGCAGGCTTCCCATAGGGAGCACCAACCTGGCTTCATGGGTAACTGCTGGGCCTGGACCGCTGTCTCCAGGCAATGGGTGGTGGCAGTTCCTGGGACTAAGACGCTGAGGGCCTTATTCCCTGGGAAGAAGGTAGGGAGTGGTTAAGTTGCTATTCACAAATGCAGCTGCAGCCTTAGGCCTCCCGGGCTTCCCCATCATAGGCACTGCTTCCCCGTCTCCTCTACAGATTCCCCACAAGGTTGTTTCAAGTCCCCATCTTCCCCAGCTTGGGAAGGGACTATATGTCCCCCTCCAGCAGATCAGGGCCTTCCTGGAACAGAGGGTAGAATGTGGGACAACTCAACACTAAGCCAGAATAATCCCCTGCCCAGAACAGCTTACAAGGGGGCAGGGATGCAGTCCAGCCAAGGCCTGCTCCCTCTGAGAACCCTTCCCAGACCTCTAGTACCAGCAAGCCTCCCACACCCCCCAAAGCCCAGCTTGGTCCTCTCCCTTACTATAATATTCACGAGTTTCACTGGGCTCTGGAGCTTAATCAATTGGAGCTCCGGTTAGAGGGAAGGGCCCCACTGTGTTTGCCATGGCTCACCTGCCTTCCGCTGGCAGAAGGCCAACTGAGCCACCTTTGCCACATCTGAGGCCTGGAGCTGCCTCATCTTCAGCCACTGTCCCAGGCATATCCTCAGGAGCCTCACCCTTCGGTGGGCCAGGTGTCTCCTGTACTGGGCCGCTCTTTGAGCCAGCTGTTGCCAGGCCCTAAAGCACCTAGAGAGGGAAGGGAAAAACTACCCTTGGTGACACCCGCAGTCGCCTGCCTCCTGCTGCGCACACAGTTCTATGGGCCCGCCTTCACCTTTCCAAGCCTCTGTTTCTCATCTTTGAACACCCCACCTGGCCTCCCATGACCACCCTTGCTTCACTCATTCTGTTGGTTCCGACTCAGTGACCAGAGTGGTGTTTCTCTCATCTTGAGTCCAATCAGCTTAAGTACTTGCTCAGCCTCCTAAGGCATCCCCTTTGCTCCTAGAATAAAATCTCAATTCCTCCCCATGGTCCCCAAGCTAGGTGGGACTTGACCCCAAACGCCTTTTCCACCCATCTCAAAACATCACAGAGGCCCTTTAGTGGCTCATGATTGCTGGGTTTTGGGTTTGTTTGTTTGTTTTGTTTTTCGAGACCGGGTTTCTCAGTGTAGCTCTGGCTGTCCTGGAACTCACTCTGTAGACCACGCTGGCCTCAAACTCAGAGCTCCGCCTGCCTTTGCCTCCCAAGAGCTGGGACTAACGATGTTCGCTGCCACCCCCAGCGCTGGTTTTATGCTTAATGTATTTGGTCTTCCTACATTGCCTAGCACGACTTTGATCTCCTGGACTCAGGCAATCCTCCTGCCTCAGCCTCCTGAGAGCTATGGCTTTTCATGCTCTCGTTAAGGCCTTGCGTACTGTTCACTTTGTGCGGTGCCCTGGTCCTTGCAGCCCTCCAGTTACTATTCATCCTTCATGTCGCTTGCCATGCCTAGGTCACTACGTCACTTCCAGGGTTCAAAACTCTGGCAGGGGGCAGGGGATCAGCATGAAGGTACTGAATCCAAAAAGGCCTACTGATTAAAAAGGTGTTATGGGGGCCGGAGAGATGGCTCAGTGTTAGGAGCACTGGCTGCTCTCGCAGAGGACCAGGGTTAGTTCCCAGCATCCCCATCTGTCAGCTCACAGACCAACTGTGACCCCAGTTCCAGGGGATCCACTGCCTTCTTCTGGACTCTGTGGGAACCTTGCATACATGTGTGCACATACAACCATGCAAGCACACACACATGTTAACAGGAATAAGTATAAAATAGAAATAAATTCCAGGTGGTGGTGGCGGCTCACGCCTTTAATTTCAGCACTCAAGAGGCAGAGGCAGGCAGATCTCTGTGAGTTCAAGGTCAGCCTAGTCTATAAGAGCTAGTTTCAGGACAGGCACCAAAGCTACAGAGAATACAGAGAAACCCTTTATCAAAAAAAAAAAATTCTAGCGCTACACAGAGAAACCATCTTAAAAAATATATGTGTGTGTGTGTGTGTGTGTGTGTGTGTGTGTGTGTGTGTATAAATAACAACATTATATTGACTGGTTACTCAGCAGCTTACCACATGGTTATGTAGGGCCTAACTGCTCCTCTTTTATAATCATAAATGGTGTCATGGCTGGCATGTTTTTGTCCAAATCTTTGTCCTCATTCTGGCTCTCTGTGGAATAAGTTGGTGGGCAGGGGCAGGGCCCTAGGCCACATCGCCTAGTCTTGGTGCCCAAGCTCACCTGCATTTACAGGCAAGGTCCATGGTTGCTTTTCTTCCCAGGGAAGGACTTCCCTTAGAAGCAAGGATTGGTGATGCAGCCTGGCTGTGGGGTTGCTCCTGTTTCTGCTGCAAACTGCCATGGCTCCCCTGGGTCAAAAGATAAGGGGCACCTGCCGGTTTAGGCCTGGACTGAGGCTCCTGTCAGCTGCCAAAGTGCTGGCCCTATCCTAATGCTACCCCATTTCCTCAGAAATGATGGACTGTCTCCATATCCAAGGAGGAAGAACACCCACACATCCTCCGGGCCAAGTCAGCAAATCACTAATAAAAAACCGCACACAGGGAACTGGAGAGGTCAGTCATGAGCTGCAACTTGGGCCGGCAGATGCCCTCTCTCAGAGGGTGTAGCCTCTTCTCAGGCACACCAGAGCCATGGCATTGCCCCCTAAGCCCCACGCTAGAGAACACCAACCTCTTGGAAGCTCCAGGCCTGCAGGGCCTCTGCAAGCTGTCCCCACGTTGCCTCCTGTTGGGCCTCGCGGAGCCGTAGGACACAGCGCAGTAGTCTGAGGCTCTTTCGAATCAGCCGCCTGTGGTTCTGAGCTACGGCCTCAGCTCTTGCCTGGTGCCTCTGGGACAGGCGCCTCCAGGCTCTGAAGCTTCTGGACAGCAGTTTCCGGCTGGGGACAGAGCAAGACTGATGAGGGGCAGACGCAACTTTCAGCTCCCTGGGACTCCATTCATGTGGCTTTTGCAGTAATGAAGGTGACAGCCATTCACAGCACATCCCAGCTGCAGACCTAAAGAACTCTCTTTGCTGGTACCTGGACTTAAAATCGCCCCCTTCCCATTGCCCCCAAAGCAACAGGCTCCCTGAGAGAGGACAATCGCCTCACTGCACTGATGTCTGCATTTCCAGCGATCCAAACCCAGGGGCGTAGGGCTTGTCTTTGGGCCCTGGAGGCTCCTGGTTTCCTATGTATGAAGACATCTCTGCCCCCTTGAAATCCTGCTGAGGCTCTGCCATCAGATGCCATCTCCATAAAGTCTTGATAGCACAGGCAGATGGGTCAGGAGCTGTCCCGGGAGCGGCCCCTGAAACCCCCAACTCCCACACAACAGGGCCTCACCAAGCAGCCTGGGGATCTGAGGTCCTGACACTTTGAGCCTTGTTCTGCAGAAACAAAAGCCATGACAGTTCTCAGGCTAGAGAGCAGGAATGACAACTCTAGCCAAGTTTCCCTGCTCCCTGTCCCCCCTCAGTGCTCCCCACATTTGGGCCCCTACCTGCCGAGTACTCTGAGCTGGGGTTGTATTTGATGGGCAGGAGGTCATCCTCTCCCCATCCCTGCCTGTTTTTTCCTGTGGGGCCTTCTCTCTTCCTTCCTGCCCAGGCAGGACACTGAAGAAGGTTGGAGATTGGAGTCTGGCCTCCCTCCTCCCTGTCTCTCCTGTGACATTGAAGTGCCCTCTGTTCCTTTTGTTGTGTGGAAGGCCTGGGGAGCCTTTCTCTCTTGCCCCAAGGGGCCGGGTAGAAAGGATCTCCTGGTCTGAGTCAGAGAAATCCCCAGGCAGTGTTCCCAGAGTGGCCTCATGTAACAGGGGCTTGAACACAGGGGACTCTGAGAGTCTAGCTTGAACCTCTAGAGTCTCCAGGAGACTGGGCCAACGCTGGGCAGGGGTTGACTGGCTACCACCAGTGTAGGGCCCCTTCTTTGTAGGGGTTGGGTGCTCCTGGGATGTCAGGCTCCCTGAACGGGTTGTCTCAGGCTCTAGGTGTGGAATGGAGTCCAGCAGCCAGTGGTCAGCACTGCACGAGGAACAGGAATGGGCCCAAGACTGGCTGTGGGCAGACACAGACAGATCCTCCAAGGTAAGGGGCTCCCCCATGAGCCTGGGTACCCTGTTCCCTGAACCACACCAGGACCTAGGGCCAGGCCGTGTGCACCTATCAAGAGGTGCCAAGCCCCCAGAGAGTCTAGAGTCCAAGTAGAGGGTGTCTGTGACCCTGAGTGTCTGCCTCTGGCAGGAGAATGGGACTGTTGGTGGCAAGCAGCTGTTCTGCAGATGGGGACTAGGGATCCCTCGGTAGCACAGGTTACTCTGCTGTGCAAAGGGCTCTCGGGGCCTCCCTGGGGACCTCCCTGCTGGAAGCTGTAGGTTATTCTGTTGCCAAAGACCTGTGTCACCTAGTTGGTCAGTGGTGCCCTTCAGGGCAGGGGCCAGGCAGAGGTGGGGGCTGGCCAGATTACTTTGAACTTGGCAGGGTTTCTGGCATAACACTGAGCCTTGGGGGCATGTGGCAGCCTGGCATACGGGCGTCCTCTGGCCTCCTCTGTTCCCCAGGCTGATGTCCATGTTCCTCCAGGGTCTCTTCAGCTCTATAAGGAAGAAAGACAGCCACACCCTGGGAACCAGGTGATGGCTTCTCAGGTCAGACAAATGGGTATCCAAGCCTCAGAGCCGGGGAGTGGCAGGGCTCCTGGTGGGAGGGTGTCAAGACTTCTGCTCCAAAGCCTTGAGGGAGCCAATGTACAGGCCAGGCCCTGGGCCTCAAGCCTCAAAGCCAGGTGGTGACATGGTTTGTCATGAGGCCGGCTACAGAGAGCATGGAAGAGGAGGGGGCAGAGGAGAGCTGTCTGATATTGGGGAAACCAACTGAGAAGAAGGGGTAAAGGGGGGAAAGGAAAAAGCAAAGGGTGACCAGCTTACAATTTACCCAGTGGTCACCCAGAACTAGCAGTACCCCCTTAGATGCCCTTCAGTGACCCCAGTTGATCCAGGCATAAAATCAGAATCTGGCCAGGTGGTGGTGGTGCACACCCAGCGCTTGAGAGGCAGGGGCAGGTGGGTCTCTGTGAGTTCAAGGCCAGCCTGGTCTACAGAGTAAGTTCCAGGACAGCCAGGGCTACACAGAAAAACCCTGTCTTGCAAAACCAAAAAGAGAGGGGAAATTAGAATCTGAATTTGTTTTGGGGCTGTTTGTACCCTTGACTGGACCAGCTCTGTGGCCTTCCTGTAGCCTGAGATCCCTCACTCCCAGGATCTCACTCTCTAGTAACTCTGGCCCAGGGACCTACATTTCTGAGTCCCTACCCCACAGGGACTCCACCCTTCAGAGATGGTGCCCTCCCAAGTTCCTCCCCTTTGGGACCCCTCCCTCCTGAGGCCCCACCATTCCCTCCTTCTTAAGAACCCTCCTTTGGGATGATGCTGTACCAAATAAGTCAACCTTGGGAAGCAAATCTCCAGAGCTAGGAGGGTGCTAGGTAGGTTACTGGGGAGGACCCCACTGCCACTGCCTTACCAAGTTCAGTGAGCTTCTTACCTGGTCCCAGGATGGTCACAGTCTTTGGGGGTACATTCTCCTTGTATCTGGTGGCAGGCCTTGGCTCCATGGGCTGTGGAAAAGTTGTGCATTCCATTAGATGGGTTGGGGTGGGGTTTAGCTCAGGGTGGAGCACTGGTCTGAAATCTATGAGGACCTGGGTAAGGTTCTTAGCATAAGGACAGGGAAAGGGACAGTCAGGCTCCGTGGAGAAAGAAGATACCCTGGTCACAGGGCACTGTTCCTTGTAATGTCCTTGGGCCACACCCTCGGCTATTCTGTACATGGTCCCTCTCTGCATAGGCCCCTTGGAGGTCTCTGCTCACTGCCCCATATAGCTTCTTCCCTTTCTGTTCATTATATCGTCTTCTTCTTCTTCTTCTTCTTCTTCTTCTTCTTCTTCTTCTTCTTC